AAACGCTTTCTTTAATTTTTGTTTGGACTTTAAGCTGCGAAAAAAAAACATTGTGAAATCAAAAGACATACATTCAATTAAAAATATATTTTAAAAAAACAAGCATACATTTTGATGTCTAAAAATGACTATAACCATAGTCATCGCCTATACCTAAAAGGCAAGTTAGAATCGAACAAAATTCGGGGCAATTTGTAATTTTACTTATAAAAAAGTAAATATAAAAGAAACGTTTGTGCAGAAATAATAAATTTGTATTGTTTTATTTCAGCTAGTTATAAAAGCAGTTCCACGCCTCCTGAAAGTCGCGCGTTCCCAAACAGACTACAGAATGTGCATCGTGACTATGTATTGATGAGGTTACGGTTGTCACGTGATTGTAATGTTATCACCCCATTCGGAATGTAAACCTTAAAAAAGCCGTTTAAATTACTTTTCTTTGTTCGAGTTTAAATAAAAATGTGAACATTTTTTACGCTGTTTTTTAAGTACCTAATTGAGCTTTAGTAATTAATATTTAGTAAAATTGTGATATCATTGTATTTTTGTAATGCGTGCGCTTAGTGGGTAGGCAAGGTAAAGATAACTTTGGGTGCTAAAACGGAAATTAATAGGGGGTTAAAGCTGCTAGAATCAGAATTAAAATGGAAAAAAAAAATAAAGTTTCTAACATTTTGGGGGCTGTTGCTGCCTACGCCCTTCCCCCTTCCCCTGTTCCAAAGCTAATGCGTATAGGTTTATAAACTTGTCAAAATTTAGCAAGAGTAAAATATAAACAACACAAACTCCGTATAAAAGTTAACAATACTTCCTCATAAACAGTATGGCAACCTAAACAAAAAAGTTGTATAGAATTTAAATATAAAATGTTCAAATTGCAGTCCTTTACTATAGGTTTTTAACATTTTTGTTATCAATTTTTAATAACTTCTTGGTTCTTTATATTTACTTTTTCACGTGATTCAATTTTTAAATTCTTCTATAACCTCTTCTCCACCTAATGCAATCTTTCTTAATGCTTTGATAACCTTTTCGTCACGTGATATAATTTCTCTTATCTCTTTTATAACCACTTTTTTACTTTATATAATCTTTTTATCCTTTGTTCAGCTAACCTTACCATTTTCTCGCATTACCTGAACAACAGCCTTTTGAAAATCGATTTTTAATTAGAAAAAGATATAAATTGATGCCGTAATATTGCATGACGTGCATATTTCTTTACTGATATAAATTTTATATCATTTACTTGCACGTCTTTATAATGATTTTCTTATAAAATTTTTATTTATTTAAAAAAATTATTTTATTCTTCCCAATGTAATCACCTCATTCAACATGACTGCCGATGTCATTGTTTTCGTTTAACGTCAGAGTGACATAATCAATACTATTTATTTTTTTTAATTTATTTATATAGCCGTGCAAATATTTACAGGTTCTGTGTTTTATAGTATATATAAAGATGGCAAGGACGAAAAGAAGATAGATTTGTCTTATCTCCAAGTCCTTTATTTTTTCTAGACAAAAATATAAATACGTTGTAACTAAAACTTTAAATGTGAGAAAAAAACAAAATGTTTCAAAGAAGTTTATAAAAAATTCAAATTAGTTTAAAATTAACCATAAAAGTTAATTATAATTAAGTTTATAGTGAAAGATATTTATCCGACAAAAAGAAAATTAAAAAAATTAATAATAAAAATAATAAAAATTCAAATTCAACGATGATTACTATTTTTACTCTCTCTCTCTCTCTCTCTCTCTCTCTCTCTCTCTCTCTCTCTCTCTCTCTCTCTCTCTCTTTCTCACACACACACACACACACACACACACATACACACACACACACACGCGCGCACACACACACACACATTTAAGAAAAAGAATAAATTTAAGTTATTGTTGTTAAAATCTATAAATGCTGTAATTCTTTATAACTAATTTTGTATAATATAATTGACTATAATGCATATAATGAAAGGTGGGCTGCCAAATTTTGAACAAAACCGGCTCGCTATTATTAAAAAAAAAAAAACACGGTAAATATACATTGTCTTCATTAATTTTTGTACAGTATAAAATATATATAACAAAACAAAACACTTATTGCACAAAAAAACTAAACAAAATTTTTATTGCACTATAAAACTGATAAATTCCAAATTTAACGTACTAGAGTCCATATGCCTTGTTTATTTGCAAAAACATAATTATTGTACCATCTTCTTACCCTTGTTTCAGTTACTAACCTGTGATTCTGGTTCATCAAAGATGTAACAAAAGGAATGGCATCGAAATTTGCTATTGGTTTCTCCAATAAATTTATTGTCATTAGATTGGATATATGTTCCACAGTAAGGTTAGTTCTTAATTTTGATGCAATTAAATTCATAAGGCCAAAACCTCTCTCAGCTTCTGAACTGCTAGAAGCATTGTGCTTGCTATTTTAAGACCTTAAAATTGAATTACGTAACTGAACTTTTTTCAGTTGTATGTTTGCATTTACAAAGTCACGAAAATCATTAACATCTACTTTAAACTTTAAAACTTCACATAATTTTTTAATCATGTCTTCACCTTCTAGCCATGGTGACATAATTTTATCTAATGACCAGGTAGAAGGATCTAAAATCTCGAAGGGCTGCATAAATTTTTCATAGTTATCAGTGTCATTGTTCTCATTATTATCCTCATCAATATTTATATGACTAACCAATAAAAGTCTTGCTTTCATATTCTTTGCCACACTATCTAAAAATTGCTCTCTGGGAAGAGAGACAAATTTATTATTGTAATCAAATGGTATGCATTTGAACTCATTTAATGAAGTTAAATTTTGAACTTTAGGCTTTTCATAGATACCAAAATTATCATTCTTGTGTAGTTCTACAGCTCGTATTGAACGCTTCATTAATTGATAAGCTTTAAATATGATAATTTTACTTGATTGTAGCGCATTGGATAGTATTGAAAAATCTTCTAAAATATCTATCATTAAAGCAAAATCATCAATAAAATGTGTATTAGCTAATCTTTTAGCCATTCCTGAATTTGATTTAGTCTGGATAAAACGTTTATACAACGCTTAGTATGCTCTCCACACAGCAGTAGCTGCTCGTAAGCTACAGGGTACCCAACAAGGTCCAAAAACGCCGCCAATTTTTATTATTTCTAGGTTCAAATCACTAGATATAGTTTCCGATTCGGCTTGGTTTTTATTTGACTGATGACATATCGCACATATTTTGTCTAAAAATATTTTTAAATGGTTTACTTGTTCAATGTCGCTTATGGAATCATCTAGTGCCAATTGCAATCGGTGATTTTAACAATGCTACACGATTATATATGGAAACATTTCAGTTAATTTTGTGCTATCCATATTTTCTTCCAAGTATTTTCAATGCACCAACTAAACAGAATCCTATGAGATTTCTTTGTAAATAATTTAATGTAAATAGTTTCGAATTCCGAAAACATTACCAGCGAATTCCGAAATTAAAATTGATTTTTTTGTGCTCTATCCAACTTTTAAATTGTGTTTTTGTTTGTTTACATATAAATGTTTTACATTCTAGTTATATAAGAAGACATAAAAAAATGCTAAATTATAGTTATTCTGCATAATACAACTAGACAGAGAAAACATTATCAAATTGCAGTTAACAGTGTCTTCGTTTCATTTGTTGTAGTATTTTACGATTTGGAACAGTGTTTGTTTATTACACTTCCTATTTTACGTACGCACATGATATGTTCGTATTTTACGTACGCACAAACATATCATGTTGTGCACATGATATGTTTGCGAGTGTGTGGCACATCAGCGCGATGTGCATATTTTGCATTAACATACTATTAAAATAGCTTATTTTTGGTTTTAGGGTTAATTTAACAAGGGGCTCGCCGAGTTTTAAAAATTTTAACAACCGGCTTGCGCGAGCCGGACCAAGCCGGCTCCAGCCCACCCCTGCATATAATCAAAGACTTTAGAGCTTTTAAGACAAATAAAGCATGTATCAATAGATAATTTTCAAATTTAATATTTTTATTGATGGTTTTAAAAATTTTATTTCTTTGTTTGTTCATCATTTAAAATCAATAGTTTTAGTATTGGTTTAAACTGTTCAAGAGTTGTAAGAGTTTTAATATTATTACTAATTATCTTATTCCATAAATTAGGTCCTCTAATAGTTATTGAGAAATTGGTGGACTCATATATAGTTTTGGGTTGAACAAAGTTGTTACCTGAATATTTAGTCGCGTATTTGTGTTGAATTTTATTAATAATGGTTTGAAGATATTTGGTTTACTATTATTATTAGTTTTATACATAAAAATTAGAAGATGATATTAATATTTCTAAATTGTTAAACAACGATGAAGGCGATGAAGAATAGTATATTTAGTTTTAGTTAAATTGATTGAAACCCAGACAGCAAGCTTACATTGGATCAACGTTGGGCCAATGCATGATGATGCATTGGCCCAACGTTGAAAGTCGATGTTGACCCAATGTAGGTTTGATTATTGGTTAGGTATTGGCCCAACGTTGTGTACAACATTGGCCCAATGTTGTATACAACGTTTTACCCAACATTAGCCCAACGTTGTATACAACATCAGGCCAATATTGTATACAACATTGGCCTAACGTTGTATACGTTGACCCAATGTTGTATACAAAATTGGCCTAAGGTTGTATGCAACATTGGCCCAATATCGTATGTTAAACGATTATTATTTTTATATGGGCCTAACGTTTTATGCAACGTTAGATTGTTGTTACAAATAAGATGATTTGCATCGCTACATTGAAAAATTACAGAAAAAAAAAGAATGTATGATACAAGTATGAAAATATATTTATTTAACATAATTTCTCGGTTAAATATACATATTGCAAACACCTAATGTAAACCAAAAACTGACACATTGAGTTTTAAATAAAAAAATTCACTATAAAATTTATAGAGTAGTTTCGATATTGTCTGAGCTACTTGTTATTGAATCGTGTTTAGCTTATGATATTTGGTGCCCACGATTATTATTTTTTCTTCCTCTATCTCTATCACATGTCTGCATAAGCCATGCTTATTTGAATTTACAGTTTCTGCAAAAAAAATTGTTGTTTGTTTAATTATGCACCAAAGAAACATAACAAATTAAAAGTAATTCTGTAATGTAAAATTGAAACTGAAAAAATAAACTTTTCTAAACCACTTACCAATAGCAACATATGCAATCAACATTTTTCCTATTCCAATTTTTTGTCCTCTCCCTGCATAGTTTAATTTTACAGCTAGGCCATTTTAAAAAACAATTCTTAGTAAATAACATATACAATCTCCTTCGTCTTTAATTCCTATTTGTGCCAAATAATTAAAATAATTAACCAGCAAAAATACACAACCTGGCAATAATTAAAGTAACTTTTGTTTAGACTTAAATTAATATAAAATGACATTTACAAAAAATTGTCAAAGAGTATTTTATTTAAAGTATATAAATTGTACTAAGATATCATACAAAATGAATAAACATATCATTAAAAAAAATTAACCATTTACTTAAGTGTTTTCTTGTCTTTTTTCTTCCAGAACTCAAATTTTTATAACTGCTTTTGATGAGTTTTGTAGTTCACCAAGTTGCACTTCAATGCTTGCCCATTATGCCAAATATTACCAGCAAATCTTTCAAGGATACAACTTTATCTTAAAACAATAAAGTTAATTATATTATTAAGAAACTATGCAACTAATTACATATTTCATTTAAAATTTATGAAAGTAAATGCAACAATCACTAATAAAACAGATAAAATTAAAAACAGAGGGGAAAATTTTTAATGATAAAAATATATACTTGCTAATGGATTTATAATAATTTTATATTTCTGGCACTGACACAAAACAATTCTCGTTAATGTTTGTCTCTATCAATTTTTTGTCTCTTTAATCTTTATATTGGCTGGTCATTATCGCTGTCTTCTATTTTTGTTTCCTGAGCAGAAGTTTAGCCTTCTGCTAAATTCAATCTTGTATTGCTATAAAAATCTATAAATCAAATTACTAATAATTAAGTTATAACTAAAGTTAATGTATAAGCTTAAAGTTGTTAACTGTTGTACACAAACTAAATATGAAAAATATCCATATAATATATTATATTAAAAATAATAAAACCAAGAATAATTTAATTGAGTTTTTTTATTTTAATTGTTTTTAATGATTATTTATTGATTTAATCTCATAATTCAATCAATTATTATAGACTAGTCATTGGTCTTAAAATAAAATGTCTGGCTATATTAGAAAGTTCTACATAAGTAGAATATAAATTCTAGTAACATCACTTTTTTTACACTGTTTTAATATGTTAGTTGTTTCACAATCAAACACAGAATTAATCAAACAAAAGAGATATACTTAAAATGTAAAATATCAGCTTCTAACAACTTTAATGACACATATATATTACTGGATACCTTTAATAATATATCTCATAATAGCTGTATAATCTAAACTATTATAAATAAATTATGATAAAAAACTTTTTTTAATACTTTTACTGTATGACATTTCAAATGTTTAATATATTTAATAAAAAAGACATTTTACACGTCTTCTTTATTAAACAAATCGATTATTTGAAATGTTACATTTATTTAATAATGTTTATTAAATAAATCAAATATTTGAAATGCCAATACAGCAATAAGTATTTATTTAATTTATAACACATACAATTTGGTCTCCAAAATACCTTCAAGATGAAACACAATTTATAATAAATATGTTTATCGAAAATGGCCATAAAAAATCTGAATTAGAGCTTATAACAAAAAGTTATCTCAAAATCAAAAATAATCCTGTTGGTGTAGTTGCAGATCAAACAAAAAATGGTAACATAACAATAAAACTCCCATGGATTCCAAGAATAGGATCAAAATTAAGGAAAGAGCTCAAGAGATATGGCGCTAATGTTATATTTACAACACCTTCAACTTTAAAAAGAATTTTGTGTAATAACAAATCCAAACTATTGCCAAATAGCAAGCCGGGTGTGTATAAGCTTACGTGTTCATGCGGTGGCGTTTATATTGGAGAAACAATAAAGAAAATTATACAAAGAAGTATTGAGCATCAGATAAACAGTATGAAAGGTAATTGGCATGCTTCCGGAGCCACAGAACACTGTAAGAACTGCCACGGTATATTTAATTGGATGCACCCAAAAACGATCGCATTCAAGTCTAACTACCATGAAAGGAAAATAAGAGAGTCACTTGAAATTAATTATGCCCAAACAAATTACGAAATAAGACACTTCCCACCGCTTTTGAACAAAGACAACGGTGTTAAAATTGCGTCAAATAGCTGGCGACCTCTTTTTAAAAAAATCATAGAAATTTCAAATTAGTTGTTTACGCTACGTCAGCTCATCTTTGTAATGTCTTCTATAACGGTTTTTTACATACGTTTTTTTTTTGTGTGAAATTTTTATTGTATTTAATTTTACGTCTGATGACGGTCTGAACTATTCAGACTGAAATATTACATAAATAAATTAAAATATTAGTACTTAGCTGTATTGTATGTGTTATAAATTAAGTAAATAAATTATCAAGTACTACAAGAAATGTCATTAAAACAAGCAATAAGTATAAAAAAAAATAACTTTCAGATTTTACACAAAAATAATTCGATTATTGCCTTTATTACTACATTAATAATTTAGATTGTACTACAAAACATTTTTTGCTTAAAACATTTTTTACTACAATTTGTAGTAAAAAATGTTTTAAGCATATTATTTAAATGTTAACAAATATTTCATTATTTAAATCTCTTGAAATTTATTTCTTATAAGGAACCTTTTAAGATTCTTAGAAGATTCATAAATATAGCTTCTTTTTTATTTTTATAATTTAAAAAAATGGAAAGAATATCAAAATCTTTTTTTATTCTGTTAAACGATACCATTTTTAAAAATGATTTGCAACAATTTTAAAAACATATACTAATCCGCAACTACATTGGCTGAATATTGGCTTCGGCATAAATGTAAGAACAGATTTTTATAAGCCTAAACTACATTGGCCAAATGTTGGCCCAACGTAGTACGATAATTGCAAAAACCGATTTGTAGAATTACAAAATTACGCTTAAAAAAAACATTGGCTAAATGTTGGTACAATATTTGCAAAAAACCGATTTCCAGAATTGAAAATAATACGTCGAAAAAAAACATTGGCTAAATGTTGGCCAAACGGAATAAACTTGCCAATGTTAAAACTTACGTTGGGCCAAGGTAAGCCTGCTGTCTGGGAAGTTCATTCCTATTTAACCATTCGGTTAGTTTTAGAAGTTCAATGTTGACCGTTTTAAATAGTGTTGTTATATCACTATGAGAATAAAACAAATTTGTGTCTTCAGCAAATAAGATAGAATCTAGAAAATCAGAGGCTTTGCTTAAACCATTAGTATATGTAATATATAAAAATAAAAGTGTTTAATGTTTCATTTCATGTTTAGTTTTTAATGTTTCAATGTGTTCATAGTTTAAATCATTAATATATATATAATAGATTAAAAATAAAAGTGGTCCTAATAAAGATCCTTGAGGAACGCCGCAGTTTGTCATATTGTTAATTTTTCATTGTCGCATGAAATATATAGTTTTCTATTAGGTAAGTAGCTTTTAAACCAAGCTAGTTTATAGTTTTGATTCCGTAGTTTTCTATTTTTTTTTAGTTAAAACACTATGATAAATAATGTCAAACGCCTTATTAAGATCTATGAATACACCTAAAGTAAACTTGTTTTTTAAAAACCTTTAAATAAAATTCTGAATGAGATGAAGATGATGCATGATCAGTTGAGTGCTCTGTTTTAAAGCTAAATTGTTTGTTATAAAGAACATTACTTTTCTGTAAATGAGTAGAATTTGTTATACATAATGCGTTCGAGAATATTTTCGAGAATATTCTCGAAGAATTTCCATTCTTCCTTGCTTCTCGAGAATATTTAATATTTTCGAGAAGCAAGGAAGAATGAAAATAGGTCTATAGTTAGAAATATTAGTATTATCTCCAGATTTAAAAACTGGTCTTATTCTTGCAATTTTATGTTTTTTGGAAAGATTTCTTGATTAAACGAAAAGATTAAAAATATCTTAAAGAATTTTTTTAATATAGAAAATACATTTAACTATAACGTTATTGCTCACATTATCTAACCCTTTTTGTGCTTTTATTGTTTTATATATATATATATATATATATATATATATATATATATATATATATATATATATATATATATATATATATATATATATATTTTGTTTTTGTTTTTTTTGTTTTTTTTTTTTGGGGGGGGGGAAGTTGTGCGAAAAGAAATCGAAGTTTTAGTTAATGTTTAAGAGTAAGATTTTAGTTATAAGTTAAAGGACTATTTGCAAAGATAAGAAGATGTGAAAGAAGATGTGAAAGAAATTAATTAAAAAATTACAGGAATATAACACAAAGATAACTTTACGAATAAAACAGATAACACTTATAAGTTAAAATTATATGTCATAAAATATAGGCTGGCAGTGATTTTCTAATTATAAATAATAATATTTTTGATGTAAAGAATAATCATTTGCAGATAGCGGAAAGTCTTTGCTAAACATATTGTTCTTTCTATGAGACAGTGTGTTAGTTTGGCTCATATGTTTAGTTTTAGACTCCCGTTCTCTACTTGGCAGAATACATTATTTATACAAAAAAGTTGACAGAAAATGTCCGCAGTGTTTCTACGGACATGATAATTATATTTTAAAGTAATAATTTCCTGATGTTTCTGATTATTACTCTGATCACTGCCAATGGATCGATTTTGATGGATCGATTTTGATTGGATCGATTTTGATGGATTGATTTTGATTGGATTGATTTTGATGGATTGATTTTGATTGGATTGATTTTGATTGGATTGATTTTGATTGGATTGATTTTGATTGGATTGATTTTGATTGGATTGATTTTGGAATTGTTGTACAAATAGTGGCATCTGCTGTTCCATATCTCACTCATGATGGTTTGAGTGAGAGTCAAAAGCAGCTGCGAGGTAGGGTTTTTTACCGATAAATTCGCTGTTTGGATGGAGAACATCGAATTTATCGGAGAAAAAAATTGTTATGGGATGTCAAGGAGTTATATATATGTTTAAAATACTCCCAAATTTCAACAGAGGAAGGACAGTAGGCAAAGATTTGTGTTTTGTCCTCGATTTTACCACAAGTTTTGCATTTGTTGTTTTTAACGATCTGTTGCCTTATGTTTTTGGCTTGCAAGGCCGCAGAAGGTAGACTGTTGTGTAAAAATCGAAAGAGGATATTTTGTGTCGGTTCTTTTTCCAAATTTGGGTCCACGGCATTGTTGTTTTTGTTGAACCGTTCCAGAAAAGTTCTGCTGTAACGACTGTCTTTTTGTTTTTTGCCACTTCTAAGTAAAAATTTTTTGTTGATTTTAGGGGGATGTTAAACAGGGACCCGTTTTGACCTAAAGCTTCTACTCTTGTTTTGTAGTACTGAGACATTTTGTTGTCCCAGTGTTTTGGAAAATTGTTCTGTTTCAAAAAGTTCCAGCTTTGGTTTTGGTTCGTATATTTTATAAGTGAGCTTGCCAACCAATACTTTGAAAAGTAGTAGCAATCGTGAGTTTGGTC